GAGGTGACCACATGGCGCGGCAGACCTCTCCTGACCCGCCCGCTGCTCCCCTCAGCCCTGTACTTCGACCATCTGCCTGCTCTGCTCCCCACTCTGTCCCTGGTGAATCCCCTCACCTCCCCTGCACCTCTGGCTTGTACCCAAGTTCTGTATACATAAATACATAAATCTTTTTTTAAAAATAAAAATAAAAATAAAAAATAGCAAACGTTGGTGAATGAGGGAATTTTATCTTCAGAATTTCGACATATGACATAAATGTCCATTTTTCAATAACGACAATGAGAACATCAAATCATAAGACATACAAAGAATCAGCAAGTTATGGTCCATATCCAGGAACAAAAATGAATCAATAGACTCTGTCCCTGAGAAAGACCAGATGTATTAGACAAAGACTTTAAAATAACCAGTTTGAAGATGCTCAAAGAACTAAAAAAAGAATGGTCAAAGTCAAGAAAATAATGTTTGAACGAAATGCAAAGATCAATAAAGAAAATTTTAAAATATCCTGGGGCTTAAAAATAGAATAAGTCAATGAAAGATTCATAAAAGAAATTCAAAAGCATATTGAAGCAATCAAAGAATTAGCAAACATGAAGATAGAACAAATGAAAATATCAAATGAGGAACAAAGAAGAAACAGAAGGATGAAAAACGAACTCAACCTAAAATATCTATAGGATATCATCAAGTGTTCCAACACAGTGATGTGGCAATCCCAAAAAGAGATGAGTAAGAAACAGATTATTTGAAGAAATATCTCTAGAATAGAGATAAATAAAATAGGGAATAGGAAAATAACACTGAAAATCCATGAAACCCAGAGTTGGTTCTATTAAAACATGAACAAAACTGGCAAACTTTTAGCTAATTTGACTAAGAAGAAAGAAGATTTAAATTACTAAATCAGAATTGAAAGTAGGAACATTATTACCAACTCTGAGAAATAAATTATTAAAAATTATTATAAATAGTGCTCTCCCTGGTGGCGCAGGGGGTTAGGGCACAGCACTGCAAGCAAGCCGCTGCCGCTTCAGTGTGCGATGGATCCCCCGCCCCGGAGTTGACCCACATGGCACAGCAGACCTCCCCTGACCTGCCTGCTTCTCTCCCCTCAGCAGTGCACTTCCTTGATCTGCCCGTTCTGCTCCCCACTCTGTCTCTGGTGAATCTTCTCACCGCCCCCCCACTCCTCTGGCCTGTACCCCAGTTCTGTATGAATAAATAATTTTTTTATTTTAAAAAATTACTATAAATAATTTTACACCAACAATTGAATAACCTAGATTAGACAAAATCCCAGGCTCATTCCAAACAGAGCTACAAACACCAGCACCTGAGGGGGGAACTGCCATGTGAGTCTCCCTGCACAACAGCTCCCTCATCTTCTCCCAATTTAGGTCTGAAAGGGGTGTTGGGATATTGTGGGAATATTCTGGAGTTGAGCAGAGTTGAGTCCCAACTTCCCAGCCCCTCTCACTTCCCCTCCCCACCATGCTTCAGTATGTAGACATAGACAAGCTCGACTACTCCAGTGAAAGGCAAGGTGAAATTTAATTGATTTAAAAATGGGAAAGTTGAATAGACATTTCCATACAGAAGCTGCATGAATAAAAACTAAGCACTTGCACTATGCCACTAGTCACAGGGAAATGCAACTCAAAACTAAATGGGATACCACCTCACACCTACTGGGATGGCTATTATCGAAAAACCAGAAAACTACCAGTGTTAGCAAAATTCTGGAGAAATGGGAACTTGTACTCTGTTGGTGGGGATGTAAAATGGACAGTCCAGTTGAAAATAGTATGGCGGTTCCTCAAGAAGTTACAATTAGAATTGTGATATGATTCACAAATTCCACTTCTGGGTATATAAAAATCAAAAACAGGATCCTAGTGAGATATTTGTTCATATATATCAGCTTTATTCAAACCAAATTTTCATTAACAAAAAAAATGGATAGACAAAACATGTCATAGATAGAATGTTGTTCAAACTTAAAAAGAAAGGATATTCTGGCCCTCCCTGGTGGCGCAGCGGGTTAAAGCACAGCACTGAGAAGCTAAAGCCACTTCAGCATGAGTTCGATTCCCGCCTGCCCTGGAGGTGACCACATGGTGTGGCAGACCTCTCCTGACCCGCCCGCTGCTCCCCTCAGCAGTGTACTTCATCGATCTGCCTGTTCTGTTCCCCACTCTGTCTCTGGTGAAGCCTCTCGCCGCCCCTGAGCCTCTGGCCTGTACCCCAGTTCTGTATGAGTAAATAAATAAATCTTTAAAAAAAAAAAAAAAAGAAAGGATATTCTGATTCATGCTACAACATGGATAAACCTCGACAACATCATGCTAAGCAAATTAACCAGACACAAAGGGACAAACACCATATGATTCTACTATAGAGATGTCTAAAGAAATCAACTTCGAAACAATACAAAGTAGAATGATGGTCCCAAGGACTGGGGTTGGGAGAGAAGGGAAAGGAAAATTACTGATGAAGGGTACATAGTTTCAGTATTACAGATGAAGAGTTACGGGGTGAATGGTGGTCATGATTGCACAACAATGTGACTATAGTTAATATGACTTAAAGTCACTAAAAAATAGTTACATGGCAACTCTTAAGTTATGTATAGTTTAGGGCCCTCCCTGGTGGCACAACAGGTTAAAGCACAGCACTGTGAAGCTAACTGTAGCTGCTTCAGCATGAGTTCAATCCCAGGCCAGGGAAATGACCCACATGGTACAGCAGACCTCTCCTGACCAGCCTGCTTCTCCCCTCAGTAGTGTACTTTGTCAATCTGCCTGTTCTGTTCTCCACTCTGTCTCCGGTGAATCCTCTCACTGCCCCTGCTTCTTTGTCTTGTATTCTAGTTTTATGTGCACAAATAAATAACCCTTTTTTTTTAAGTTTTATAATTTAGCATAATAAAAAAATGAAAGGAATAAATTTTTTAAACAAACAAAGAAAAATAAGGGTCATCAACATAAAACTTCAGTTGGGCCTTGCAGCCTATCACCTCCTTATTGCTCATCACCTCAGCCCACCAGGCCCCTGATACCCACTCTGAGGTGTAGAGTCCTCTTCTTGGCCCTGTGAGCAGCCCCAAGGCCACAATGGGTTCCCACTCTGCACCCTCTATTGAAAAGCCTGGGTACATAAACTTTCTTATGCCACTACCTGTTCTCTCGAGCCACCAGCCCACACCACCCCTAGTTACACATTAGACCAGCAGTGAGTGCCCAATCTCATTGATCTGTGGTTCCTGTCTAACCATGATTCAGCTGTTGACTCAGCCCCCATTCCTGCCCCACGCCCAGGAAATGCTCTGTGACTTACCCCTGCCTCCCACCAATCAGTTCTGCCACTCTCGATGCCCTCCTCTGCAAATCCTACTTAGGCTCACACCTCCTTTCTTCTGGGCAGAGACCCCTCAAGCCATGGGGGTCTTTCTTTCTATGGATATCTGTTAGGGGACCCTGCTATGATGCAGGCTGCTGTGGAGACCAGGTCTGAGAATGTGGGTGCCCAGAAGAAGGGAGGCATTCAAAGAGCTATTGATCACTCTGTCTGGACAGTCATCTCATGTGTCCAGCTCTTGGTGCCTGGTCATCTCCCTCAAATAGCCTAGGGTTGGAGTCTTGTGACTTCCTTCCCTCAGTTCACAGTGCTGAGTACCCCACCACCTTCACACCCTGGGTCATGTAGTCCCACCTGCTGTATGCTGTTCTTTGAGCCCCAGAAGACTGAGGGTAGGGAGGGCACCCATCTCAGGTCATAGGACATGACTTACCTTGGGCAGCGCTAGTTCCTGGTTCAGACCCACGTTGATGTTGCACATGAAGTAGAGACTCATTCCAAACAGGGCTACAAACACCAGCACCTGAGGGGGGAACTGCCATGTGAGTCTCCTCTCCCTCACCATCTCCCAATTTAGGTCTGAAAGGGGTGTTGGGATATTGTGAGAATGTTCTGGAGTTGAGCAGAACTGAGTCCCAACTTTCCAGCCCCTCTCACTTCCCCTCCCCACCATGCTTCAGTATGTAGACATAGACAAGCTCGACCACTCCAGTGAAAGGCAAGGTGAAATTCAGTGCTTAGCGAATCCATCTGACCCTAGCTGATGTGAGGTACCCCCAAAAGTTTTCCTCTGCCCCCACTTACCACCACCCCACGGGTGACCTTGTGCAGCAGGATTGGGGTGTAGAACTTGCGGAAGAACCTGAGCAGGAATCCCTCGCTTTGGCCAGGGGCCGTGAGCTTCTGGCTTCTCACACAACAGCAGACATCCATTCGGGAAGCCTGAAGAAAGGCAGCCCTTCATGGTGATCCCAAAGCACACCCCAGGAGACAGTTTACTCCTGTGGGACTGCCACTGTTTAAAGGTAGCCTGTGCCAATGCCTCAGCATGGGGGCATGGGCACACTGCTCTCTTTTTTGTTTTCTTATGTTGTTTGTTATTTTATTATCTCTGTATTATTCTGAACTATCTTTGAATTTTGTACCATCACAGAAAACAACAACTCTCGGTCAACCTCTACTTTATTTTTTTATTCCTTAAATCTTAGGTACTTTCACAGGTTTGATCACATTCCCAAAAGGAAGTTACTTTTCTATGGCAAATTAGGGACTACCTAGTGCAAACACACTATCACAGCGTTCTTGTCCCTCACCCCAGTCTCAGAGTTTTCTCTGCCAAGTGAAGCCATCCCTTTCCCCAGTCAAGAAGGGGGTCAAGGGCTAGTCCCCCCATTCTGCCCACAGCCCTACCTCCTGCCTCTTGCTATCCAAGGAAAGCAAGGCCACAAAAGCCGTCATCTGCAGCAGGAAGTCAAGAAGCACCGCGAAGCCAGAAGTCAGGGCGAAGGTTCTCACAGCAGGCATGGGAGTCAGGGCCCCTGGAGTGTGGGGGAAGAGGTCTGTCAGGGCACTCTGACTTGGGGGAAAGGAGTGACTCTCAGGCCTGGGCCCCCTGGTCAGACAGGGGACTACCGAGGAAAAGGGGTAGCCCTTGCCCGCTTCCTGTAAGGACTCCCAGAGCCTGGTGGGGAGAAAGCTCACCTAGAAAGAAACAGATGGCTTCAGAGAGGCTACACAACAGCATGCTGGGGGCCACTCTGCCCAGAGCTCGGCCAATGTGGGCCTCCCGCTGCTCCTCAGGCTCCCGAGGGAGCCGCTGTGTGGGGACAGAGCAAACAGGTTCCAGAGTCAGTCTGGGACTTTATCCCACAGACCAGCAGGGAGCTCCTTCAGGCATTGCCAGAGGCCCAGCCAGAACATGCAAATTGGCCTCAACCTCCTCCAGCTGGCAGCAGGTCCTGCCAACAATGTCCTGTCATCTTCTGCTTCTAGAGGTCTGACTGAAAAAACACTTGGTGCATTTCAGGAGGCCTCTAACATCCTTGCTCTGACACATTACTGGAACCCTAACTGTTTACTAGCAGGAGAGGTTCAGTCAACTCTAACTGTCCTTCCATGAAATGCCACATTACGGCATAAGGTCTGGCGGTGGCTCAGAAGAGCTGTATGGGCTTGCGGCTAGCCCTCAGGTGACACACAGGAGGAACGCATTTATGTCAAAGGTAGACGCAAAGCATTCAGTTTGCTACAGGATTTGTAAACGTGAGCACAGGGGAGGCATCAGTAAGAAATCCAGCCAAGGGACCCCGGTCGTGTCTAGGAGTGAGGGGTCGGGATTCCTGCCTCTTACCTGGTACTCAAGAACAAAGATGAAGATGTTGTCTGCACCCACAGCAAGCACCAGGAAAGGCACCACTTGAAGGATCACTAGGGAGGAGGGGATGCCCAGGTAGGAGAAGAAGCCCATGGCAGCCATGACCGATCCCAGTACCACGACCACTCCACCGAGGCCGAGAGTGACTTTGGAGTCCACCTGCAACGGGACCAGGCTCAGCCCCTGGCTGCAGGGCCCTGCCGACGCACCCTCTCGTTCCAACCAGAGGAGGGAAGCAGGCAGCATGTGGGCTTGCCCCGAGCCCACACATACTGGCACTCAGTGTCCAAGCCACTCTGCGGAATCACTCCCCTAAGGCAGGTTCTCCGGCCTGCCACATTGTGAGACATATTAATCCACTTTGCAAGCAGCTGGTTGAAAACAGAATGAAAGGGAAACTGGATCAAAACTTGTGTGACCTTTTGAAACAGAAAACTTCCAAGTATTACCTTCTGCAAGATCCACTCTAGGCGGTCTCACTTTACTATTTTGAGGTGCTCTGACTAAGAAGGCTCTAGATTCCCCCATGGGTCAGCCCACCCTCACTGGGTCCCTTGTCATCTCCTACCAGCACTCGGTTCCAACTGGAGTAGCTGCCCAGAGCCAAGGAGATGTACAGGAAGATGACAATGTAGCTGATCGCAAAGATGGGCAGATCCTGGGCAGTGGTGCTGTTGATCTCATCCTCCAGGGAACGCTGTGGACACACACCCAACCCCCCACTGACTATCCAGCTGAAAAGACTTGGCCAGTGGGCACTAATTGTACAGTGGACACTGTAAGCTTCTGCAAGGCTGCAAGAACAGCTGTCATACCACCTTATTCTCCTTAACAGGTAGTCACTGGCACAAGGTCACTCAAGAAGGGTGAAGTCAGGAGCGGCACACAGGAGCCCACCCAAAGCCACCTAGGTGTCTCCCCAGACAAGGGGGACCCTGCAGTCCCTACCTCTGCCATGAATGTGACCTGGAACTTGCCAGCTGTCCGACTCCGGAAGGCTCTCATCTCCTTCAAGAAGCCCTCCTCCCAGAGCTTAGCCTGGGCCAGCCGCTGGTCCCCAGGAGGGTAATTGTTGAGGGAGAAGGTCATGATCAGGGCCTCCGCCTCAGAATAGTTGTTCCCTGGTATAAGAAATGCTCAGCCACCCTCCAGTCACCCTTCCGCCCTGCCTCACTCACCCACTCTAGCTGTCCCTATCTTTCCTTCCCCATTCTAGACACACCCCTGCCTCCGCAGCCCCCACCCATCCACTCCAACTCCTCCCTCAATGTCTTTATCAGAGCCATTGTCTAACCCCTTTCACCCCTTTTCCCTCTCTCAGCCAACACAAGTCCTTTGGGCTGAAGTACTAAACCAGATTCTAACAGCACATTCTGAGAAAAGTGGTGGGATAGGGCAGGTCTGTGAGCCCTCTGTAAGTCCCCCACAAACCTGGCCACCCCCAGGCAATGGAAAGTCCTGTCACCTCTCACCCTCCTACCCATTCCTCCTCACCCATACCTCCCCCTCAATGGCCTTCCCCAAAGCCATCTAGCTTACCTTGGTAACCCCCCACGGCAAGGAAAGGGAAGACAGGGGCTCCATAGTCAGCCATGCAGCTCAGTCTCAGATTTGTGCTATCTGTGTAAGAGGCTGGGGCACTAGGAGAAGAGGGAGGTATTTTTCCTGGCTACTCCAGCTGGCTTGGGTCCAGCAGCCCACCCCACCCCACCCCAGGCTCGTAGCACCATCACCTAAGTTCCAGCTTAGAACCATTTCTGCCAATGGAATCTCAGAGCCCAATCCAGAGTGGACTGCAGTTTCCCTGACCAGGGTGGCCTGAGCTCTCTCCCCTCCCATCAGCCCAACCTCCAGGTTCCATCATCAAGTCATCCCCAGATGAGGAAGGTGGGTGAGCATCGCACATGGAGTCCCCTGGGTGGGGCCAGGGCCCTGGCAGTCTGGCAGCAGCACCTGAGAGGGCCATGTTGGCCCTCCTGTTGCCCTCAGCCTTCTCCTCCTGCCCCTTCCCCCCCCAACTCTAGGCCCTAGGTTTGGATCTTCCTTTCCTTGGACAATTTATCAGACCCTTACCTTGGGGAAGTCTCTATCGTGCAACTAGACCCTTTCTGAAAGTGCGTTCCAGATACCTGAATGAAGTTCTCTGAGCAAGTTAGTCACCAAATGTCCTGGGGGTACTGGCTGAAGTGTGACCTTGAGCAGCTTGCCACACCCCTCTAGACCTCAGTTTTCCTGTCTGTGAAATAGGGACAGTCGAACCACCCAAGAGAACCATCCAAAATGTAAATAAATTGAGTGAGAAGACTGTGAACTTGGGCTTGGAGCTTCCTCCCTGACCTGTCAGTTCTGAAGTCCAGAAGCACAGACTCTGGGAAACAGCCCAAATGGGGGCTCACCCAAGGGGTGGAGAGAGAGCACTGACAGCCTTGACTCTCTTCTAACTCATCAGTACTCGGTGGCCCTGGAGAGCTTTTCAATAGACTGGGTTATTTGAAACTATTTTCATGCTAACAATAGATGCTATTTGTTTTTCAGCCCCCACTGGCCCTTGAGTACACAGAGTACCACAGTTCAGTGATAGACTTCAGCTACTACAGAGAATGCAAAGGATGCAAAACATTACCACCCATTTTTTATATTTGGGGGAGGGGTGGGAAATGTAGTCATTTTGTTTGGGAAATATATGATTTTTCACTAAAAGATGTTATTTGTGTTCACATATAATGGGCTTGTAGTTGTCATTTGTAAAGAATTATAAGTACCCCATCATTTCTCATGTGGTAATGTCAATAGATATAACCTTTACCCAAAGCAGAGCTCTTTGGGTTCTTCAATCTTTTGCCTGATTGCATAGAGTCCCTGAAACTAAAACTTCTGAGGACTTCTGCTTCATTCCAACCTTAAGTGTCTCACTGCTGTTCTGCTCACCTGATCCCTCCAAGGTAGGGTTTTTGAACCTTTACGTTCAATCCTAAGGTCCAACAGCTTCACTGACATCTTGTTTGCTCCACCAGTGAGAGGGCATGTGGCAGCAGCTTGTACAAGGATACCTGGCCTCAACTGGCCTGTGCCCAGGCTTGGCACAGATTCAAGAGAAACAGAGCAAGCACACATGTAAGCTGGGCCATCAGATTATAACACTCAAACCAAAAATGTGCAAAAATGCTCCCTACTATGTCAGGAGCCCCATGACAGATTGAGTGAAATTGGGGTAGAGAGGCTGATGGCCATGAACGATCTGCTCCAGAGAGCAGAGCCGTACTTGATAGTGCTAAGCCACTGACCATAGAGAGAAACGATAGACTGTATCCCAGAGTCTGGGACTCAAGGTCATGTGCGGTCCCTCAAACAGGGGTTCTGGACCTGGTCTGGGTTTCAAGAGATCCACAGCACTCCTCCCCGAGAGCCACAGACTAGGACTCACTTGGCACAGTAGAGAAAATGATCCCTCCAGTCCAAGTGGTAGGTCTTCCCGTTGACTGTCTGGTTGGCGGTGTGCAACAGGTGTGCATGACTGCTCTGGAAATACTGCAAGAGGCTGTTGATGCAGCAGTCAGACAGACTGGGGTTGTCTGGGTTGAGGGGGGCATAGCAAATGTCCTTCAGGGAGATGTTGCGCTTGTCAGCTGGTGACCACACCTCGAGGAGCCGCAGCCTCTCCTGCAGTTCCAGCAGCTCCACGAGCAGGTCAGTGGCCAGGATCCCAGTGAAGTTCTTGGGCCCCAGCTGAAGAGAGTCATACGTGTAGGTGGTCCGACCAGGAGCTGTCAAGATCACCTGATTGGTTCGGAAGAAGGGGCCAAAATGCTTATCATGGAACTCCTTCTCCTGCCGAGCTTGGCTGTTGGGGGCTGACCACAGTTCCACAGGGTCAGTGGTCAGCTTCATAAATGCTAGGCCTCCTGCTAAGGACACCACCACAGCAAAGGACACCACCAGGACAGTCACTGGCCATGAGGCCACCCATGTGCCCCATCTCTGGAAGAACTTGCCAAGAAGCGTGTGGGTGGAGAGGCTGAGCTTGTCCGAGAAGCTCGTGGCTGCCTTGGGGTCTGGTGTCCCATCCATGCCACTTTTGGAGGCCAGGCGGGACCACACAAGGAAGATGGTAAGTACAGCAAAGCCTAAGCAGAGGATGATGATAAGGACTAGCCCACCTGCCATGCTGCCCAGGCGGAAAGTGGCATCCAGGGCAGATGGGTGGTTGATGACAGGGCAGGAACTAGCACAATCCAGGCAGCTGCAGGCTTGCTCGTTCTCCCCTAGGGGCACGTTGCAGGGTGGAACCTCACCACCCAGAGGCTGTACCCCACCTCCTGGGCTCTGGCTGGACTCCAATAGATGGAAGGTGATATCCAGGGGTGCAAAGTTGTTATCTGTGTTCCCCTGGTAGTCCAGCCAGCGCTGAGCATTGCAGAAGACCGAGCCGTAAACACCGCACATGATGCCCACCACTGTGGAGGCCGTTGAGGGAAACTGCACCTGGCTGCAAGAGTTATAGGTCTTCTCTGCAAACGTCCGCTGGTAGAAGGCCTCGTAGGCCAACACGGCTGGGTGGGTCTTATTTTCAGTCACCCGGGTCACATTGATGAAGAGGCTCTGGTTGGGGCTGCAAGTGTTTTGGCAGTGCAAGTTCACAAAGTTTGCTGAGCAGACAGGGCAGCGGTCAGTAAGGGTTTTGAAGGTTCTTATGCTCTTCTCTAGGGAGTTCAGCTGCTCGAGGGAGCAGCAGGCATAGGTGTTATTGGGGCCCTTGCTGAGTCTGGGGCAGAGTTGCTGCAACTTCTTCAGGTGTTCACCTGTGATGTGGCGGGCAGGTGTGTTGGACAGGCAGGACACTTGGGCATTAATTTGTAGTTCTGGGTTTTTCCCACACTCATCATAAAAGGAGCAGTAGCCAGCCTCATGTCTAGGTGTATACAGCTCTCCCAGGGCCTGTGGAGCAGGGCAATGTTACCATGAGCCACCATGCTGGTCAGCACTACTGGGCAACGGACAGGGAAACAGATCACCAGGGAAGGTATGGGTTAGGAAAGACGCAAAGCAGTGTCAGGTGACCCAGGTGAGGGGGTAGATGCTAGGGTCTTGGGAAGAGCGCTGGGGAAAATGCTGAGATAGCACATGGAGTCATATGGTCAAGCTGTCCAGTCATGTTGCTGGACAGAGCAGCTAGGCCCTCATCACAAGAGTGTGGGGTCACTGAAGAGAAGGAGGTGATCTGACAGATCTGCATTTAGCAAGGTCAAGTCACAGTGGAGGGTGGGGAGACAGGTGGGGAGAATGGGGTGGTTAGGAACCCCATTCCTAACTGCCAGAGTGGTGTCCAAGCTACAGGCCTCCCTCAGAAACTCTGGCTCCTCTTAGAGATCCTGGGCACTACTTCCCTTGCTTCACATGTTTGGGCTCGAAGGACTTTACCCACCCTCTCAGACATGCAAGAAAATCAGAAACTTGAGGTCCAAGAGCCCGGGATCTTCTTCCTTCCCCAGATTCCAAATCATCTTTTGGTGAGTCTCCCCCAAACCCTCATCTCCAGCATCTTCAGGACTGGATTCCCTTCAACTCTTCACTGGCCACCTCAAGCCATGACAGCTTCATCAGACCAAAGGTAGGAGATATGGACAGTTCAGAACCAACTGCAACCCTGCTCTGGAAGCCTGGGGTCCCCTCATCTGTCCAGAGATTGAGGTCCCAGGCTCTTCCTCACTGTCACCAAGCAACACCCTCCTGAGTAGCCAGTTAAGCACCCACCCACCCACCCTGGAGCACTGATGGGAGGAAGTGGAGAGTAGAAGGAGACAATAGGACTGACTTACCAAGTGCAGGAACAGGACACAGAGTAGCCAGACCCTCAGGCTGGCTTCTGTCATCTTGAGATGAAGCAGGGCCAAGGGAACAGCCAAAGGCCAGCTCTGAGGCAGGTACAATAAAACAGGCTCATTGCTGTCAACCTGGCCTGATTGGGCTGGAACCAATCAGGCTTCGCCCCGCACGCAACTCCAGCAGTTAATGATCCACCTTGCTTGTCCCTCCCACAGTTTCGCTCAATCCTCTACAATGACTGCCTGCCAGTTGGGGGTGGGGGTCTCTCCTTCCCCCTACTTCCCAAAGCACCCAAATTTCCACTCCCCTTGCATCAGCCCCCAACCCAGTATTCCCAGGGCCCTCCTAGGATTAGGCCAGTTTTGACTCGGACACACGATCATACCGAATAACCGTATTAATTAATATTAACAGCCTGCTGGGCACAGTGGAGGTGGAGTGACACAGTGACAGCAGTCTCCTCCTCCAGATAGAAAGGGGAAAGATCAGTTTTTTTCAGTCTGACAGCGGACAGAGACTCCGATCAAAAGTCACAGCCCTCCTTTGCTCCCCTCTCTCTTCTGCCTCGTCCTCCCTTCCTCTTGTTCCTTACCCAACCTGTCCCCAGGAAATCCTAGTAGGGGACAGGTTGTTGCTGGGAACCCCAGCCAAGTTACCAGGCTCCACCTGGGCCTAGATATAGGACATACGCTTTCTATTCTCTCCATATAGAGAACTGAAGACCACATTTGGGCTATCACTGCGGCCAGGAAGAGTCAAGCATTGCCACCATGTCAAGGCTGAGCTACTAAGGGTGGTGACTCAGAGAGAAGTCACCCAATACAGGAAGGAAAGGCAAAGGCCATGGGGAGGAGAACCAGAATGCCAAGGGGGGGACACCAGCAGGCTCATTCTGAACCCTAATCCCTGAGTCAGACCTAGATAGAGAGGAAAGTGACTGGCCCAGGGCCTGGCTTAGTGCAGTAATTCCATCAAGCACATTCCAGGCTCCAGCCCCGCCTAGGATATCTAGCCTCTGTCTAGAAGAGACAGTGGTTCCAGTGCAAGATAGTTTATTTTGGGAGGAGCAGTAGCAGGGAGGAGGGGTGGTTGGGAAAGGAAGGACGTCAACTTGGTACATTACAAAACAGACTCAGCAGTTTCCTCTGAAAGTCAGGGGGGACCAAGCCAGAGGGACCCCTCCAGGAAACACATTCTCATTTATGCCTGCCCGCCTCTCCCTGTGTTTGAACCCAAGGCCCTCTGGCTTTCATGCAGTGGCCCAACTGCAGCGAAAACTGGGCCCACCCTGTTGGTTCTAGGTTTGTCCCAGGGCTGGCACAGAGACAGGGAACACAGACTTTTGCTCTCCAGAGTCTCCTCTGAAACAAGCAGGTAAGAGCAGCACAGACAAATCTGAGAAGAAAATAAGGACTCACCTTAGCCTCGAGATCTGGCTCCTGCTGCACCTGAAGTTTCTTTTTTTTAAGATCTATTTATTTATGCATACAGAACCAGAGACAGAGAGGGGAGCAGATCAGGCAGATTGATGAAGTACACTGCTGAGGGAGCAGCAGGCAGGTCAGGAGAGGTCTGCCGTGCCATGTGGGTCACCTCCCCAGCCAGATATTGAATTCCTGCTGCAGTGGCTGCAGATATCATCATAATGCTGTACTTTAACCTGCTGTGCCATCAGGGAGGGCCCTCCACCTGGTGTTTCTGATTCTACAGCATCCCTGGACAAGATTGAAGTTGGGGCCACTGTCTATGCTCTTGCACCCCATTTTTCTCTGGACTCAACATAAATACTCAATGTTTCCTTCACTTGAGGACTAGCACAGTTATCGCTGGTTGTGTCCCCGCAGGCAGTCAAATCTTCCTCCTCCTAATGCCAGAGGTTAGGCTGGTTCCAATAATAGTTCATTATTATAAATAAGTTTTCGCTTATCATCTTTGTGCCTAAGTGTGTGACTATATTGTTTTCCTTAAACCAAAATCCAAGAGATGAGATTAGTGTGTTAGAGTTCCAAGTTCATGACTATAAATTCACAGCTCATCAGCTCTCCCCTCGAGCTAATCTAGCAGATATTAATAATCAGATTCTTGCTTAATAGTGACTAATTAGGGTTCAGTTGATGAACACAACTGATTCACTAAGGGTTGAAACTGTCTTGAAGTCATAAAAGAGAAGTGCCCAGTTATCGGCTGCACCTGAGCCCAGCAGCTTAGCAGATTCTCTGTCTAAAACTTCCCTGTGCTCCACCTACTCATCCTTCCCTCTCCACAAATCCCTGACAAACATATTCTTCTGCCTCCATTTAAGTTCAGTGGTCTAAAATACAGTTGCATTGTTGTGTAAATATCATGGTCAACTACCCTGGTAAGTCTTTTCATTTTTTTTTTAAGATTTATTTATTTATTCATACAGAACTGGGGTACAGGCCAGAGATGCGGAGGGTGAGAGGATTCACCGGAGACAGAGCAGGGAGCAGAACAGGCAGATGGACGAAGTACACTGCTGAGGGGAGCAGAGGGCGGGCCAGGAGAGGTCTGCCGCGCCATGTGGTCACCTCCGGGGCAGGCAGGAATCGAACTCATGCGGAAGTGGCTTTAGCTTCTTAGTGCTGTGCTTTAACCCGCTGCACCACCAGGGAGGGCCAGTCTTTTCATTTTTAAAACTGAATCTTTCTACCTGTAAAACAACTATTCCCTTTCCTTCCTGAGAGGCCTCTGGTTCCCGCCATTCCCTAAGCTCCTCGTATAAGTGGAATACAGTTTTTGTCTTTTTGTGTCTGTTTTTTTTTTTCACTTAATATAATGCCTTCAAGTTTTCTCCATGTTGCAGCATTTTGCAGAATTTTATTTCAAAGGTTGTATAATCTTTCTTTGTATGGATATGCCACACTTTATTATTCATTTACTTGTTCATTGATGGACACACAGTTGCAGCCATCCTTTGGCTTTTGTGAATAATGCTGAATGAATGTGGGTATAAAATATTTCTCCCAGACAACCCAAATGCCCAAAATTAGATGACTGGATCAAGAAGATGTGGTACATATACACAATGGAAAACTACACAGCAATAAAAAAAGATAAACTCATGCCATTCGCAGCAACATGGATGGAGCTAGAAGGGATCATGCTCAGTAAAAAAAGTCAGAAGGGAAAAGGAAAATATTGAATGGTTTTACTTAGGAAGAGAACCAAATAAGACAGAGGGAAAAAATTGTATTGTTACTACAATACAAAACACAGCACAACAAAAACAGACAATTATAAACCAGAGATATCTTATAAGGGGGTGGGGAGGGAGAAGGATTGGAAGGAAGGAAAGAGAAATGTGGGGGACTGTGGTGATGATTTGTGGGTGAAATGGGGGAAGGGGTAAGTAAACATTGCTTTAAAATGAACAATAATGTAACTAGATATATAAATCAATAATTTTTAAATAATTTAAATAAATAAAAACTATCCATCAAAAAAAATTAAATGGGAGCCATGCAATTTAACAAAGAATGTATATTAAAACAAAATATTTAATATTGGGCCCTCCCTGGTGGTGCAACAGATTAAAGTGGAGGTGATCCACATGTAAGGCAGACCTGTCCTATAAGCATAATAAATAAATCTTTTTAAAAAATAGTATCTCTCCCAGACCTTCTTCTTCTTTATAGTATATACCCAGAAGTGTAATTTCTGAATCATATCACAATTTAATTTTAACTTTTTTTTCCAAAGATTTATTTATTTATGCGTACAGAACTGGAGTATAGGCCAGAGGTGCAGGGGTGGTGAGAGGATCCACCAGAGACAGTGGGGAGCAGAACAGGCCGATCTACTGAAATAAACTGCTGAGGGGAGCAGCAGACAAGACAGGAGAGGTCTGCTGCGCCTTGTGGGTCACCTTCTGGCCAAGGATGGAACTCGTGTTACAGTGGCTGGGGCAGCCTCACAGTGCTGCGCTTTAACCTGTTGCATCACCAGGGAGGGCCATGAATTTTAGGAGTTCTTTATGTAGTCTGAATTTTTTGTTTTTAAAGATTTTTTTATTTATTTGTGCATACAGAACTGGGGTACAGGTCAGAAGTGCAGGGGTGGTGAGAGGCTTCACCAGAGATAGAGACAGAGCAGGGAGCAAAACAGGCAGATTGACGAAGTACACTGCTGAGGGGAGCAGTGGGCGGGTCAGGAGAGGTCACCACCCCCACTCTCCACCCCCCCTACCCTCCCCCCCCCCCAGGGGGGCAGTTGAACTCATGCGGAAGTGGCTTTAGCTTCTTAATGCTGTGCTTTTACCTGCTGTGCCACCAGGGAGGGTCCTGTTTCTGAATATTAATCCTTTGTTAGATGTATGGTTGGCAAATATTTTCTCTCATTCTGTTAATGGTCTTTTTTACTCTGTTGACTTTGTGTTCTGCAATTTTGCTGAACTCATCTGTGAGTTCTAACCATTTTTTGTGTATGGAATCTTTAGATTTTTCTATAGTAAGGTGACACCCTCCACAAACAAAGATAATTTTACTTCTTCCTTTCCAAATTGATGTCTTTCATTTCTTTTTTGTTTAAATATTCTGCCTAGAATTTACAGTACTATGTTGAAGTGAAGCCTGCTTTGCTACGGTGTTGGAGGGAATATGCTTTCCATCTTTCCCCACTATTATATTTGCTGTGGGTTTTTTATATACAACTTTGATTATGCTTTATTCTGACATAATCTATTCTGAGTTTGTTTTATTCTTTTTCCCCCTAATCATGAAAGGAAGTTGGATTTTGTTAAAGGCTTTTTCTGCGTCAATTAATATGATTATATGGAGTTTTGCCCCTTGCATTCTGTTGATGATGTCCGTCAGCTTTTGTGTTGGACCATCCTTGTATTCAAGGAATAAGCTGTGTTATAGTGTATAACATGTGTTTCCTCATGTATTTTGGGACCCGGTGGCTTGCTGTATATATGTTTATAATTAATGATTAGTTGATCTTTAATTAACATGCACTTTGTCTTTTGTCACAGTCTCCCACTCAAAATCTATTTTGCCTAGGGCCTCCTTGGTGGCCTAGGGGTTAA